CTCTGCTGTTAAACCGGAGCCGGTCATGAGCACACTGCCCAGGTATGGGAAACTCTCCACTCTCTCCACAACTGCCCCATCACCGATTGGGAGTTGTGGGGGTGGAGTGTCCGATAGTACAAAATACCCAGGCAGGTGCTTAGTTTTGGTGGGGCTGATGTTAAGGCCCCACCTCTTAGTGACACACTCCAGTTTCAGCAGCAGCGTCTCCAACTCCTCCTCTGAATGAGCAGCAATTACCAAATCATCGGCATACACAAGGTGGTTGACCAATAGGGAGCCATTCCTTGACCGCACCCGGGCATCGATCAGCTTCCCAATGTATCTGTACCAGATGGAAATTCCTCCGGTTCAGCTACTGAAGGCTTGACGAACTACGTGGTCGAAAAAGATGTTAAATAATGTTGGAGCCAGGTGTACAGGAAATGGCTCTGACTCCCGGCCACGTAGTTTTACCCGGGCCCGCTCACAATCATGAAGGTCCTTAATGATCGTGAGCAGCAGGTCAGGGACTCCAAAAGCACGAAGAACAACCCAGAGACCAGGCCTACTGATGGTATCATAGGCCTTGACCAGGTCAATAAAGCAGAGATGTAGGTCTTGCTGGAATTCCCTACACCTCTGCTGTAGCAGACGGACAGAAAATATGGCATCTGTGCAGGACCGCCCTTTCCTGAAACCGCATTGGGGCTCCGCAAGCCTCTCCTCAGCCTGCCTAGCAAGGCAACACACGTACACACAAAGACACACACGTACACACACACGTACACACACATCCACAAAGACACACACGTACACACACATCCACAAAGACACACACGTACACACACAAAGACACACACGTACACACACACACAAAGACACACATGTACACACACACACACAAAGACACACACGTACACACACACACAAAAACACACACACACCCACAAAGAGACACACGTACACACACACACACCCACAAAGACACACACGTACACACACACACACCCACAAAGACACACACGTACACACACACAAAGACACACACGTACACACACACAAGTACACACACACACACAAAGACACACGTACACACCCACACAAAGACACACGTACACACCCACACAAAGACACACGTACACACACACACACACACAAAGACACACGTACACACACACCCACAAAGACACACACGTACACACACCCACGAAGACACACACGTACACACACACAAAGACACACACGTACACACACACACAAAGACACACACGTACACACACACAAGTACACACACACACAAAGACACACACGTACACACACAAAGACACACACGTACACACACACACAAAGACACACACGTACACACACACACAAAGACACACGTACACACACCCACAAAGACACACACGTACACACACACACAAAGACACACACGTACACACACCCACAAAGACACACACGTACACACACTCACAAAGACACACAAAGACACACACGTACACACACACGTACACACACACACACGCACATGCGCTGTGTCGGCAGTATGCGCTGCTGCATGCAGGCATCACAACATGAGGGGCATGCATGCAAGGCACGGGCGACCAGGCACGGGACACAACACGGGGAGACACCACAGCAACACCACAGCAACACCACAGCAACACCACAGCAACACCACAGCAATCCACAAGGAGACACAGCAACACCACAGCAACACCACAGCAACACCACAGCAACACCACAGCAATACACAAGGAGACACAGCAATCCACAAGGACACACAGCAACACCACAGCAACACCACAGCAACACCACAGCAACACCACAGCAATCCACAAGGACACACAGCAATCCACAAGGACACACAGCAACACCACAGCAACACCACAGCAATCCACAAGGAGACACAGCAATCCACAAGGACACACAGCAACACCACAGCAACACCACAGCAACACCACAGCAACACCACAGCAATCCACAAGGAGACACAGCAATCCACAAGGACACACAGCAATCCACAAGGACACACAGCAACACCACAGCAACACCACAGCAACACCACAGCAACACCACAGCAATCCACAAGGAGACCACAGCAATCCACAAGGACACACAGCAACACCACAGCAACACCACAGCAATCCACAAGGAGACCACAGCAATCCACAAGGACACACAGCAATCGACAAACAGACACAGCAATCCACAAGGAGACACAGCAATCCACAAGGAGACACAGCAACACCACAGCAACACCACAGCAATCCACAAGGAGACCACAGCAATCCACAAGGACACACAGCAATCCACAAACAGACACAGCAATCCACAAGGAGACACAGCAATCCACAAGGAGACACAGCAACACCACAGCAACACCACAGCAATCCACAAGGAGACCACAGCAATCCACAAGGACACACAGCAATCCACAAACAGACACAGCAATCCAAAAGGAGACACAGCAATCCACAAGGAGACAGCAATCACAGCAATCCACAAGCAGACACAGCAATCCACAGCAATCCACAGCAATCACAGCAATCCACAGCAATCCACAGCAATCCACAAGCAGACACAGCAATCCAGAGCAATCCACAAGCAGACACAGCAATCCAGAGCAATCCACAGCAATCACAGCAATCCACAGCAATCCACAGCAATCCACAAGTAGACACAGCAATCCACAGCAATCACAGCAATCCACAGGGGGACACAGCAATCCACAGCAATCACAGCAATCCACATAAATCCACAAGCAGACACAGCAATCCACAGCAATCCACATCAATCACAGCAATCCACAAGCAGACACAGCAATCCACAGCAATCACAGCAATCCACAGCAATCACAGCAATCCACAGCAATCAACAAGGAGACACAGCAATCCACAGCAATCACAGCAATCCACAGCAATCCACAGCAATCACAGCAATCCACAAGGAGACACAGCAATCCACAGCAATCCACAAGGAGACACAGCAATCTACAGCAATGCACAAGGAGACCACGGCAATCCACAAGGAAACACAGCAATCCACAGCAATCCACAGGGGGACACAGCAATCCACAGCAATCCACAGCAATCCACAAGGAGACACAGCAATCTACAGCAATGCACAAGGAGACCACGGCAATCCACAAGGAGACCACGGCAATCCACAAGGAGACACAGCAATCCACAGCAATCCACAGGGGGACACAGCAATCCACAGCAATCCACAGCAATCCACAAGGAGACAGCTGTGCACAGCACCGGCACCGGGCTAAACCACGTGGTGGTGGTGGCGGTGGTGGCAGGGAGATTGTGAGATTATTGAGATGATTTGGCTGCTGTTGTTGCTATGAATTTCCACGGGACGACGACGATGATTGTATCATCCGCTAGCTCGAGCTGCTGTGATGTTGTTGTAGTTGTGGCCCAGATTCCCTCTGACAAAGAGCTACACTGTAGCTCAAGGGGGGGGGGCCTTACCTGGTAAATAATAATAATAAAAAAATAGTTTCGTTTTAGCATGGGTCTCTATGTGTATTTACATTATGAGACCTCACTTTGCCAGTAGCAAGATATAGTAATAGGTTTTTACCCTTTTATCTGGCACCAAAACTGACACCTTTATACAAGGGGATCGTGTTTGCAATAACCACAACGCAAGCGGTCAAAGATGCAAACAAAAAGAGACAACTCTGATAATGATGATGGCACCGTCCTTGAAATTGATTGGTCCACACCAGAGACGGCTTTTCTTAGAGCCCTTTAGTCTCTCCACTGGTGTTGGACCAGAAGACGCCAAAAGACGTACAACTCAAAAACAGCGCACCATCAGAGTATTGAGAGCTCGGGGTGAGCATTTACACTGAACTCTCAATACCCTGATGGTGCGCTGTTTTTGAGTTGTACGCCTTTTGGCGTCTTCTGGTCCAATACCAGTGGAGACTAAAGGGCTCTAAGAAAAGCCGTCTCGGGTGTGGACCAATCAAATTCAAGGACAGTGCCATCATCATTATTATCAGAGTTGTCTCTTTTTGTTTGTATTTTTGACCGCTTGCATTGTGGTTATTGCAAACATGATGCCTTGAATAAAGGTGTCAGTTTTGGTGCCAGATAAAAGGGTACAAACCTATTACTATCTCTATGGGTATTTGGATCTCTGTGGTTCTCTATGAGTATGGATCTCTGCTTGTCTCTATGAGTATAGGTCTCTATGAGTATGGATCTCTGCTGGTCTCTATGAGTATGGGTCTCTATGGGTCTCTGCTGGTCTCTATGAGTATGGGTCCCTATGAGTATGGATCTCTGCTGGTTTCTATGAGTATGGGTTTCTATGGGTCTCTGCTGGTCTTCATGAGTATTTTGATCTCTGCTGGTCTCTATGAGTATGGATCTTTATGGATCTCTGGATTTCTGCTGGTCTCTATGAGTATGGGTCTCTATGAGTATGGATCTCTGCTGGTCTCTATGAGTATGGGTCTCTATGAGTATGGGTCTCTGCTTGTATCCAAGTATGGGTCTTTATGGATCTGTGGATATCTGCTGATCTCTATGAGTATGGGTCTCTATGGGTCTCTGCTGGTCTCTATGAGTATGGGTCTCTATGGGTCTCTGCTGGTCTCTATGAGTATGGGTCTCTATGGGTCTCTGCTGGTCTCTATGAGTATGGGTCTCTTTGGGTCTCTGCTGGTCTCTATGAGTATGGGTCTCTATGGGTCTCTGCTGGTCTCTATGAGTATGGGTCTCTATAGGTCTCTGGATCTCTGTAGGTCGATGAGTATGGGTCTCTGCTGATCTCTATGAGTATGGGTCTCTGTGGGTCTCTGTAGGTCTATGAGTATGGGTCTCTGCTGCTATCTATGAGTATGGGTCTCTATGGGTCTCTGCTGGTCTCTATGAGTATGGGTCTCTGTGCATCTCTAGGGGTCTCCATGCGTCTCTATGAATCTCTACGGGTCTCTATGGGTCTATTTGTCTCTATGGGTCTCTATGGGTCTCTTTATCTCTATGGGTCTCTTTATCTCTATGGGTCTCTATGGGTCTATTTATCTCTACGGGTCTCTATGGGTCTCTTTATCTCTATGGGTCTCTATGGGTCTCTTCATCTCTATGGGTCTCTATGGGTCTATTTATCTCTACGGGTCTCTATGGGTCTATTTATCTCTATGGGTCTCTGTGTATCTCCATGGGGGGCAGGGGGGCGGGATGCCAAGTTGTCTAAGGCGGCACCGGTGCTGGTGCCCCAGGTCTCCGTTGAGGAGGAGGAGGAGAAGGAGGAGGAGCAGGAGGATGAGGAGGAGGAGCAGGAGGAGGAGTAGGAGGAGGAGGAGCAGGAGGAGGAGTAGTAGCATGAGCAGGAGGAGCAGGAGGAGCAGGAGGAGTAGGAGCAGGAGGAGCAGGAGGAGGAGCAGGAGGAGGAGCAGGAGGAGGAGCAGGAGGAGGAGGAGAAGGAGGAGCAGCAGGTTGAGGAGCAGCAGGAGGAGGAGTAGGAGGAGCAGGAGGAGGAGCAGGAGGAGGAGCAGGAGGAGCAGGAGGAGGATCAGGAGGAGGAGGAGCAGGAGCAGGAGGAAGAGGAGGAGCAGGAGGAGGAGCAGGAGGAGAAGGAGCAGGAGGAGGAGCAGGAGGAGGAGGAGAAAGAGGAGCAGGAGGAAGAGGAGGAGCAGGAGGAGGAGGAGCAGGAGGAGGAGTAGGAGGAGCAGGAGGGGGAGGAGCAGCAGCAGGTTGAGGATGAGGAGCAGCAGCAGGTTGAGGATGAGGAGCAGCAGGTGGAGGAGCAGCAGGTGGAGGAGGAGTGGCCGTGCCACGCCTCACGCGGCACGGCCGTTTACCTTCGCCGCCCGCGCGCACGAGCGCAGCAAAGTTCTGGGCAACCTAAGGAGGGTGCGGGGCAGTGCCAGCAGCGCCGAGCCCGCCCGGCGCACCAACTTCTACGGGGGGCAGACAGCCGGTGGCGGCACGGAGGTCACACAACCTCACCCCTCCTCCTCCTCCTCCTCGCTGGGCCGGGTTTTCTCATCTCGCTTTCTTTCTTTCTTTCCCACACTGGCCCACGTCGGAGCCGACGCCGGCGCGGTACGGGTTGGTGTTTTTCCACTGCCGAGCCGAGGCCGGGGCCGGCGCGGTACGGGTTGGTGTTTTTCCACTGCCGAGCCGAGCCGAGGCCGGGGCCGGCGCGGTACGGGTTGGTGTTTTTCCACTGCCGAGCCGAGCCGAGGCCGGGGCCGGCGCGGTACGGGTTGGTGTTTTTCCACTGCCCACATCCGAGCCGAGCCAGCACGCTACGGGTGGTGTTTTTCCACTGCCCACATCCGAGCCCAGCCAGCATGGTATGGGTGATGTTTACCACTGCCACATCCGAGCCGAGCCAGCATGGTACAGGCGGTGTTTTTCCACTGCCACATCCGAGCCAAGCCAGCACGCTATGGGTGGTGTTTTTCCACTGCCCACATCCGTGCCGAGCCAGCACGCTATGGGTGGTGTTTTTCCACTGCCCACATCCGTGCCGCGCCAGCACGCTATGGGTGGTGTTTTTCCACTGCCCACATCCGAGCCCAGCCAGCATGGTATGGGTGATGTTTACCACTGCCACATCCGAGCCGAGCCAGCACGCTATAGGTGGTGTTTTTCCACTGCCCACATCCGTGCCGAGCCAGCGCGCTATGGGTGGTATTTTTCCACTGCCCACATCCGAGCCGAGCCAGCACGGTATGGGTGGTGTTTTTCCACTGCCCACATCCGAGCCGAGCCAGCACGGTATGGGTGGTGTTTTTCCACTGCCCACATCCGAGCCGAGCCAGCACGGTATGGGTGGTGTTTTTCCACTGCCCACATCCGAGCCCAGCCAGCATAGTATGGGTGATGTTTACCACTGCCACATCCGAGCCGAGCCAGCATGGTACAGGCGGTGTTTTTCCACTGCCACATCCGAGCCGAGCCAACACGCTATGGGTGGTGTTTTTCCACTGCCCACATCCGACCCAAGCCAGCACGCTATGGGTGGTGTTTTTCCACTGCCACATCCGTGCCGAGCCAGCACGCTATGGGTGGTGTTTTTCCACTGCCCACATCCGTGCCGAGCCAGCACGCTATGGGTGGTGTTTTTCCACTGCCCACATCCGAGCCAAGCCAGCACGCTATGGGTGGTGTTTTTCCACCCACATCCGTGCCGAGCCAGCACGCTATGGGTGGTGTTTTTCCACCAAGGCTGGTTGCCGAGTTGATCTTGAATCGACCTGTGGACCCCGTCGTGGTGGTGTGGTGTGGTTATACCGTGATGGTGTGGTTGTCTTGTGGTGGTGGTGGTGGTGGTGGTGAGGTTAACCCTGTGGTGGTGGTGGTGGTGATGATGGTGGTGATGAGGTTGATCCTGTGGTGGTGATGGTGGTGGTAGTGGTGGTGGTGATGGTGGTGGCGGTGGTGATGGTGGTGGTGGTGATGGTGGTGGTGGCGGTGATGGTGGTGGTGGTGATGGTGGTGGTGATGGTGGTTGTGGTGGCAGTGGCGGTGGTGGTGGTTATGGCGGTGGTTGTGGCCGGCGCTCCCCGCGTCTCCACACCTGGAATGCGCTCTTCTTGGGAGGCTCCCTGTCCTCCACCACCTCCTCCTCCTCTTCGTCTTCGCTGTCCGACTCGAAGAGGTAATAATCTCCACTCCTCGTCACTGCACAGGCAAAGGTACCCCACACCCCCCGGGTAGCCTTCAGCGGGCGTTTGGGGCAAGGGCGGTAGAGGCAAGCAGTGGTGGTGTGACTCGTGGTGTGGTGGGACTCGTGGTGCGGTGGGACTCGTGGTGCGGTGTGACTCGTGTGGTGCGGTGGAACTCGTGTGGTGTGACTCGTGTGGTGTGGTGTGACGCGCGTGGTGTGGCGTGACTCGTGGTGCGGTGTGACTCGTGTGGTGTGACTCGTGTGGTGTGACTCGTGGTGCGGTGTGACTCGTGTGGTGCGGTGGGAACCCGCGGTGCGGTGGGTCTCGTGGTGTGGTGTGACGCGTGTGGTGTGGTGCGACTCGTGGTGCGGTGCGACTGGCATGGTGCGGTGTGACTCGTGTGGTTTGACTCGTGTGGTGTGACTCGTGTGGTGTGACTCGTGTGGTGTGACTCATGGTGTGGTGTGACTCGTGTGGTGTGACTCATGGTGTGGTGTGACTCGTGTGTGACGCGTGTGGTGTGACGCATGTGGTGTGGTGTGACGCGTGGTGCGGTGTGACTCGTGTGGTGTGGTGTGACGCGTGTGGTGTGACTCGTGTGGTGTGACTCGTGTGGTGTGACGCGTGTGGTGTGTAGTGACGCGTGGTGTGGTGTGACGCGTGTGGTGTGACACGTGTGGTGTGGTGTGACGCGTGTGGTGTGACGCGTGTGGTGTGGTGTGACTCGTGTGGTGTGGCCGCTTCACGTACTCGACGCGTGGTCAGACCAGCGTGCCCACCACCTCTTCTTCATGTCCGGCGCTGGGGGCTCGTCAGAGCCTGCAGCACCAAACCACAACGCATCCAACACCAACACCATTACCACACCACCATCACCACCATTACCACACCATCGTAACCACCACCACCACCATCACCACACCACCACCATTACCACCACCACCATTACCACACCACCGTAACCACCACCACCATCACCAACACCACCACCATCACCACCACCACACCACCACTGTAACCACCACCAACACCATTACCACACCACCACCAACACCACCACCACCACCATTACCACACCACCGTAACCACCACCAACACCACCATTACCACACCACCACCACCACGGTAACCACCACCACGGTAACCACCGTAACCACCACCGTAACCACCACCACAGTAACCACCACCACCGTAACCACCACCACCATTACCACACCACCGTAACCACCACCACCACACCACACCACACCACACTGCACCACACTGCACCACACCACACCGCACCCCTGCGGTCGAGGTCGACGCTGGCGCGCTTGCTGCTCTTGTACTTCTCCTGGCGAGCCTTGATCCGCTCCATCCTACACACACACACAGACACACACACACATACACACACAGATACACACAGAGACACATAGACACGCACACAGACACACACACACAGACACACAGACACAGACACACAGACACATACACACACACAGAGACAGACACACACACACAGACACACAGACACACACACACACACAGACACACGTACACACACACACAGACACACAGACACACACACACACAGACACACACACACAGACACACACACAGACACACACACACACAAACAGACACACACACAGACACACACACAGACACACACAGACACACACACATACACAGACACACACACACACAATCAGCATCTCTGTGTGATGAGTCTATGGGTCTCTGTGCGAGTCTATGGGTCTCTGTGCGAGTCTATGGGTCTCTGTGTGATGAGTCTATGGGTCTCTGTGTGGTGAGTCTATGGGTCTCTGTGTGATGAGTCTATGGGTCTCTGTGCGAGTCTATGGGTCTCTGTGCGAGTCTATGGGTCTCTGTGAGTCTATAGGTCTCTGTGCGAGTCTATGGGTCTTTGTGTGAGTCATGGGTCTCTGTGGTGAGTCTATGGGTATCTGTGTGTGTACGTGTGTGTACGTGTGGGGAGCGGTGGTGTAGCGGTTAGCGCTACGCTACGCTATGAACCCAACGACCCGGGTTCGATTCCCACTCACGGCCAACACCGGTGACAATTATCTGAACCGGTCCCGGTCCTCCCCTAGGTCGACTCAGCCTCAAATGAGTACCTGGTGCGGTGCGTAAACATCGCCACTGGGGGAGACAAAGGCGGCCGGGCGTGGTGTTGGCCACCCACCCCCTCGTGTGCCGTGCCGGCCTTCATAGGTGCTCGCTAACAGCACTTGCCCCTACAGTCTGTTAAGGCTATATGGGGGATCTTTGTCTTTGTGTGTACGTGTGTGTGTGTACGTACGTGTGTGTGTATGTGTGTGTGTTTGCGTGTGTGTGTGTTTGCGTGTGTGTGTGTAAGTGTGTACGTGTACGTGTGTGCGTGTGTGTGTACGTGTGTGTGTTTGCGTGTGTGTGTGTGTACGTGTGTGTGTTTGCGTGTGTGTGTGTACGTGTGTGTGTGTGCGTGTGTGTGTGTACGTGTGTGTGTGTACGTGTGTGTGTGTACGTGTGTGTGTGTTTGCGTGTGTTTGCGTGTGTGTGTGTACGTGTGTGTGCGTGTGTGTGCACGTGTGTACGTGCATGTACATGTGTACGTGCATGTACATGTGTACGTGCGTGTACGTGCGTGTGTGTGCGTGTGTGTGTGTGTACGTGCATGTACGTGTGTGTGTACGTACGTGTGTGTGTACGTGTGTGTGTGTGTACGTGTGTGCGTGCGTGTGGGTGCGTGCGTGCGTGCGTGTGTGCGCGCGTGTGTGTGTGTGTGCGTGCGTGGGTGTGTGTGTGCGTGTGTGTGTGTGTGCGTGTGCGTGCGTGTGCGCGTGTGTGCGTGTGTGCGTGTGTGTGTGTGCGTGTATGTGTGCGTGTGTGCACGTGTGTGTGTGTGTGCGTGTGTGTGTGTGCGTGTGTGTGTGTGCGTGTGTGTGTGTGCGTGCGTGTGCTACTGACTGCCTCTTGAGCTGCTGCATGGACTTGCGCTCCGTATCCATCCGTGCCCTCATCGCCTTCACGATGCCGGCACGGAATAACTCAGCACCCCTGCCAAGACGAAGACAAAGATCCCCCGTGTAGCCTGTTACAGACTTTTGGGGCAAGTGCTGCTAACGAGCCGCGCCTATGAAGGCCGGCACGGTACACGAGGGGGTGGGTGGCTACCAGCACCACGCCCGGAACACACACACACGCACGCACGCACACACACACACCAACAACAACAACAACCGCCATTCGACACTAAGTGGCGGTGACGTCACCACGATGCTTGTGCCAGGCTATGTGCGCCCTGAGGCCACGTGAAGTGTCGAACGCCCGCTGGCAGGAGGTCACGGGGCAGACCCAGGTGCCACGGGTCGACTGACTGAGACGACTGGCTGATGCACATCGCCTCGTCGCACCCCAAGGTGTACAGGGAATGTCTCTGACTTCCGGCCACATAGTTTTAGCCGGGCCCGCTCACCATCATGAAGGTCCTTAATGATCGTGAGCAGAGGGTCAGGGACTCCGAATGCACGAAGAACAACCCAGAGCCCAGGCATACTGATGGTACCATAGGCCTTGATCAGGTCAATAAAGCAGAGATGTAGGTCTTGTTGGAATTCCCTACACCTCTGCTGTAGCAAACGGACAGAATATATGGCATCTGTGCAAGACCGCCCTCTCCTGAAACCGCATTGGGGCTCCGCAAGCCTCTCCTCAGCGTGCCTGGCAAGGCGATGTTGAATAATCCCTGCCAGGACCTTTCCCGGCACACTGAGGAGTGAGATGCCCCTGCAGTTGTTACAGTCTGTGCAGTCCCCCTTCTTAAAGAGGGGGACCACCAGGGCATCCTTCCAATCCTGCACAACCCATCCAGTGGTCCAGACTGTTATCATGATGTCATATTGGACAGTGTGTGCACAAACGCCACCCTCCCTCAGCATTTCGCTTGGGAGATCATCTCTGCCCGGTGCCTTTCCAGGTCTCAGACTCTGGATCGCCTTTAGTACTTTCTCAATAGATGGCACCTCAGCCAGCCACTCACAGGGGGTGACTTCTTCCTCCAATATTTGAGGCACCGCAGCCTCAGCAGGGTCATCCTCACTTTGTGCCACGATGTTTTCCATGTCGAGGGATTCCCCCTCCCCCAGGATTTCACAGAAATGCTCAGCAAATCTGCAAACCTGTTCCTGGCGATCGGAGATTGGATCACCGTTTTTTCCCCTAATGATGGTAATAGGTGTGGCGCTGCAGGTTACTTTTTTGATGGAGTTAAATAGAGATTTGCGATCGCGGGCCATTGAGGCAGACTCCATCTCCTCAGCAACCCACGACCACCACCCATCCTTGCAGCGCCTCACGGCTCTCCGAACCTCCGAGCGAAGGCTGTGGTAAGCCTCCTCATTTTCTGACTTGGGATGCTGGAGACGATTAGAGTGGGCCTGTCGCTTTTTCTCAACCATCCTGAACACCTCCTCTGTCAGCCAGGGTCTCTGGGGAGGTCTGGACCGCGTACCCAAAGCAGCCATTGCAGCTGCATGAGTCACAGTCCTAAACCTCGCCCATTTACCCTCGACATCAGGAGGAGTGGGGGACGATGCCAACTCCAGCACCAAGCGATGATGAAATTCTCGCTTGCAACTTTCATCAGCTAGCTGAGACCAGGCCACCTTAGGTTTGAATGGGGTCCTGGGTATACACCCACCACCGGAGTGGAAGTATGGCAGGCGCATCTTACAGATGACAAGTCGATGGTCAGAGGGCAGATCAGCTCCACGGTAGGTCCTGGTGTCAAGGACATGGGCCCGCATCCGCTGTTCCATCACTATGCAGTCCAGCAGATGTTCTTGCTTGGACCCAGCATGCATCAATGATGTGTGGATGCGCTGATGCCGGAACAGCATGTTGGTAATTACAAGCCCATGGGCTGCACAAAAATCTAGCAGCCTCCTACCGTTGTTATTGAGCTGATCTGGCCCATGCCCTCCAATCACTCCAGACCAGGTGCCAGCATCATGACCAACTCGGGTATTGAAGTCACCCAACAAGATGACTCTATCCCAAGGGGCCACTTTAGCCAGCATCTGTGACAGGAGGTCATAGAAGGCATCTGACTCATCGGCCTTGCCTGCATCCCTCCACGGATGTTCGTCTTCGGTGGTAGCATAAGTAACCACGACCACCACTCTTTGCCTCTGGTTGATGGCAAGGTGAGCCCAAAGTAGCCCGGGGCTTACAGCTTCCCACACCTCACCGCCACGCTCCCACGCCCCCTTCATTCTTTTGTTCAGAAGAAGAGCCACACCCTGTTGTTTGGCAGCCTCCTGCCACGCAGTAGAGGACTGTCCACCCCTCATGGTGGCAGGAGCCAGAGCCGGTCCACACACACACACACAAAGATCAAAGAACAAAGATCCCCCATATAGCCTTAACAGACTGTAGGGGCAAGTGCTGTTAGCGAGCATCACCTATGAAGGCCGGTAACGGTACACGAGGGGGTGGGTGGCCAGCACCACGCCCGACCGCCTTTGTCTCCCCAGTGGCAATGTTTACTACACATCGCACCAGGTAACTCATTTGAGGCTGAGTCGACCTAGGGGAGGCCCGGGACCGGTTCAGACAATCGTCACCGGTGGTGTTGGCCGTGAGCGGGAATCGAACCCGGCTTGCCAGGTTCGTAGCGCAGCGTAGCGCTAACCCGCTACACTACTACTGCTCCCCACTCTAATACACACAGCCACAACAACAACAACAACAACCGCCATTCGCCACCAAGTGGCGGTGACGTCACCACGACGCTTGTGCCAGGCTATGTGCACCCTGAGGCCACGTGAAGCGTCGAACACACACACACGCACACACGCCACGCCACGCCACACAGGGACACGCCCGCGCGGCAAAGCGAGCACAGCCGTCGGCAAAGTTTTCAATCGTGTATCCTGCCGCGGACAGCACCTCACTCGCCCGGACAGCCAGAAAGGAGACCCCTGGGCTCGCTCACGGACTCACGGACGCACAGGACGGACGGAGGGAATGCTCCTGTTTAACACGTAGGCTTTCGCGACCAATAATATTCATAATAAAGGGTTTTTGGGTCAGATCGCGTTTATTTATAAATGTGTCGTAACCCTCCACCGCCCGAGTGAACCCACAACATTTACAATGTTTGAGTAGTACTGTGACGTTTTCGCTGGTAAGGTACTTCCACAGCATCATCGGGGGGCAATTCGCCGGGATGGTGAAGCCCTCGCTTGCTGCCGGTTTGATGTGCTCCTGGCCGATTTCCCCCCCCCCCCCCGGGGCCGCCCTCACCTGGAGGCGAGCACCGTGGAGGCACTGAGGTCGGCCACCACGTGGCTGAAGTAGTGGCTGAGGAAGACGCGGCGCTGCAGCAGCAGGAAGACACAACACACCGAGTCCCAGGTGATGCCGGCCTCGTCACGCGGCAACTCGCACTTGGGCTCCTCGTGACGGCCCTCCACACCTGGGGGGGGTGGTGGGGGGGGGGGGGGGGTTGGGGGGGAGAGGGGGTGGGGGTGAGGGAGGGTGGTGGGGGGGGGGGGGTGAGGGATGGGGGGGATGAGGGATGGAGGGAGGAGAGAGGGATGGAGGGAGGGAAGGAGGGAGGGAAGGAGGGAGGGAGGGAGGAGGGAGGGAGGGTGGAGAGGGAGGGTGGGAGGGGAGGGAGGAGAGGGATGGAGAGAGAGTGGGGAGGGAGGGAGGGAGGGTGGGGGGGAAGGAGGGAGGGAGGGAGGGAGGGAAGGGAGGGAGGGAAGGAGGGAGGGAGGGAGGGAAGGGAGGGAGGGAGGGAGGGAGGGATGGAGGGAGGAGAGAGGGATGGAGGGAGGGTGGGGAGGGAGGGAAGGAGGGAGGGTGGGGAGGGAGGGAAGGAGGGTGGGAAGGGAGGGTGGGAGGGAGGAGGGATGGAGGGGGGGAAGGAGGGAGAGAGGGAGGGAGGGAAGGAGGAGAGAGGGAGGGAGGGGAGGGAGGGTGGGGAGGGAGGGAGGGGGGGTGGGGAGGGAGGGAGGGAGGAGGGAGGGAGGGTGGGAGGGAAGGGAGGGAGGAGGGAGGGAGGGAGGAAGGAGGGAGGGAGGGTGGGAAGGGAGGAGGGAGGGAGGGAGGGAGGGAGGGATGGAGGGATGGAGGGAGGGAGGGAGGGAGGGATGGAGGGAGGGAGGGAAGGGAGGGAAGGAGGGAGGGAGGGAGGGAGGAGGGGTGGGGAGGGAGGGATGGAGGGAGGAGAGAGGGATGGAGGGAAGGAGGGAGGGAGGGTGGGAGGAGGGAGGGAGGAGGGAGGGAGGGAGGGAGGGAGGGAGGGAGAGAGGGAGGGAGGGAGGGAGGGAGGGAGGGAGGGAGAGAGGGAGGGAGGGAGGGAGGGAGGGAGGGAGGGTGGGGGGAAGGAGGGAGGGAGGAGGGGTGGGGAGGGAGGGATGGAGGGAGGGATGGAGGGATGGAGGGAGGGAGGGATGGAGGGATGGATGGAGGGAGGGATGGAGGGAGGGAGGGAGGGAGGGAGGGAGGGAAGGGAGGGAGGGTGGGAGGGAAGGAGGGAGGGAGGGAGGGATGGAGGGAGGGTGGGGGGGAAGGAGGGAAGGAGGGAACCAGGGAAGGAGGGAAGGAGGGAAGGAGGGAAGGAGGGAAGGAGGGAGGGAGGGAGGGAGGGATGGAGGGAGGGAGGGATGGAGGGAGGGAGGGAGGGATGGAGGGAGGGTGGGGAGGGAGGGAGGGTGGGGAGGGAGGGTGGGGACGGAGGGGAGGGAGGGAGGGATGGAGGGAGGGAGGGTGGGGGGAGAAGTAGGGAGGGAGGGATGAAGGGAGGGAGGGGGTGAGGGAGGGATGGAGGGAGGGAGGGGGAGGGGGTACTCGTTTAAGGCTGAGTCGACCTAGAGGCATGAGGGCGCCCGCGACCTGGTCCAGATGATCGCTGCTATCACCGGCGACGTTGATTTCGCAGATTGCCGTGAACCACTACCAGAACAGCAAGATGCCCGTACAGCCTTGTAGCAGACTGTAGGGGCAGGCGCTGACAGCAGGCGCTGATAGCAAGCGGCACGGCACACACGGGGGTGGGTGGGCCAGCACCACGCCCGGCCGCTTTTGTCTCCCTAGTGGGTGAGCGAGCGGGTGGGTGGGTGATTGGGTGAGCTTCTGAGTGAGTGAGTGAGTGGGTGAGCAGGTGAGTGGGTGGGTGAACAGGTGAGTGGGTGAGCGAGCATGTGAGTGGATGAGCTTCTGAGTGAGTGAGTGAGCGGGTGAGTGGGTGAGCGAGCAGGTGATCGGGTGAGTGGGCTAGCAGGTGAGTAGGTGAGTGAGTGAGTCAGTGGATGAGCGGGTCAGTGGGTGAACAGGTGAGTGTGTGAGCAGGTGAGTGGGTGAATGAACGGATAAGTGGGTGAGTGAATGACCGAGCGTGTGACCGAGCGAGCGAGCGAGTGAGCGGGTGAGCGAGTGGACGGACGAGCGGGTGAGCGAGCAGGTGAACGGGTGAGCAAGTGGATGGACGGGTGTCTGAGCGAGCAGGTGAGCGAGCAGGTGAGCGAGCAGGTGAACGGGTGAGCAAGTGGATGGACGGGTGTCTGAGCGAGCAGGTGAGCGAGCAGGTGAACGGGTGAGCGAGTGGATGGACGGGTGTCTGAGCGAGCAGGTGAGCGAGCAGGTGAACGGGTGAGTGAGTGGATGGCCGGGCGGGTGAGCGGGCGAGCGGGTGAGCGAGCGAGCGGGTGAGCGAGTGGATGGACGAGCGGATGAGCGAGCAGGTGAACGGGTGAGCAAGTAGATGGACGGGCGGGTGAGCGGGTGAGCGAGTGGATGGACAGGTGTCTGAGCGAGCAGGTGAGCGAGCAGGTGAACGGGTGAGCGAGTGGATGGACGGGTGTCTGAGCGAGCAGGTGAGCGAACAGGTGAACGGGTGAGCGAGTGGATGGCCGGGCGGGTGAGCGAGCAGGTGAGCGAGCGGGTGAGCGAGCAGGTGAACGGGTGAGCGAGTGGATGGCCGGGCGGGTGAGCGGGTGAGCGAGTGGATGGATGGGTGTCTGAGCGAGCGGGTGAGCGAGCAGGTGAACGGGTGAGCGAGTGGATGGCCGGGCGGGTGAGCGGGTGAGCGAGTGGATGGATGGGTGTCTGAGCGAGCGGTGTGAGCGAGCAGGTGAACGGTGTGAGCGACGTGGAGGCCGGGCGGAGTGAGCGGGCAGGTGAGCGAGCAGGTGAACGGGTGATGCGAGTGGATGGACGGGTGTCTGAGCGAGCAGGTGAGCGAGCAGCGTGAACGGGTGAGCGAGTGGATGGACGGGTGTCCTGAGCGAGCAGGTGAGCGAGCAGGTGAACGGTATGTGAGCGAGTGGATGGCCGGGCGGCTGAGCGGGTGAGCGGGTGAGCGAGCGAGCGGGGTGAGCGAGTGATGGACGATGCGGGTGAGCGAGCAGGTGAACGGGTGAGCAAGTAGATGGACGGGCGGGTGAGCGGGTGAGCGAGTGGATGGACGGGTGTCTGAGCGAGCAGGTTGAGCGAGCAGGTGAACGGGTGAGCGAGTGGATGGACGGGTGTCTGAGCGAGCAGGTGAGCGAACAGGTGAACGGGTGAGCGAGTGGATGGCCGGGCGGGTGAGCGAGCAGGTGAGCGAGCAGGTGAGCGAGCAGGTGAACGGGTGAGCGAGTGGATGGCCGGGCGGGTGAGCGGGTGAGCGAGTGGATGGATGGGTGTCTGAGCGAGCGGGTGAGCGAGCAGGTGAACGGGTGAGCGAGTGGATGGCCGGGCGGGTGAGCGGGCAGGTGAGCGAGCAGGTGAGCGAGCAGGTGAACGGGTGAGCGAGTGGATGGCCGGGCGGGTGAGCGAGCAGGGTGAACGGAGTGAGCGAGTGGATGAACGGGTGGGTGAGCGAGCAGGTGAGCGAGCAGGTGAACGGGTGAGCGAGTGGATGGCCGGGCGGGTGAGCGGGCAGGTGAGCGAGCAGGTGAACGGGTGAGTGAGTGGATGGCCGGGCGGGTAAGCGGGTGAGCAGGTGAGCGAGCGAGCGGGTGAGCGAGCGAGCGGGTGAGCGAGTGGATGGACGAGCGGATGAGCGAGCAGGTGAACGGGTGAGCGAGTGGATGAACGGGTGGGTGAGCGAGCAGGTGAGCGAGCAGGTGAACGGGTGAGCGAGTGGATGGCCGGGCGGGTGAGCGGGTGAGCGAGTGGATGGATGGGTGTCTGAGCGAGCGGGTGAGCGAGCAGGTGAACGGGTGAGCGAGTGGATGGCCGGGCGGCTGAGCGAGCAGGTGAGCGAGCAGGTGAACGGGTGAGCGAGTGGATGGCCGGGCGGCTGAGCGAGCGGGTGAGCGAGCAGGTGAGCGAGCAGGTGAACGGGTGAGCGAGTGGATGGCCGGGCGGGTGAGCGAGCAGGTGAGCGAGCAGGTGAGCGAGCAGGTGAACGGGTGAGCAAGTGGATGGACGGGCGGGTGAGCGGGTGAGCAAGTGGATGGCCGGGCGGGTGAGCGGGTGAGCGAGTGGATGGACGGGCGGGTGAGCGAGCGGGTGAGCGAGCTGGTGAGGAGCCGGGTGAGGAGCGACGTGGCTCACCGCTGTAGCCCTTGATGGTGCACACGAGGCTGAAGAGCTGGATCAGCCAGCAGCCCTTCCTGTAGAGGTCCGACAAGAATGCGCACGCAGCAATCTGCACACCACAGCAGCGGTGCTCACGTCAACACGAGGGAGGGCGGGGGGGGGGGGGGATGGTGGGCGCAGGGGGCCAGGATTCCCGCCGTTATCTCCCCTACCGCACACCCACCCATCTACCCACCCATTCGCCCATTCGCCCATCCACCCATTCACCCGTTCATCCATTCACCTACCCACGCATTCACCCACCCATCCACCCAACTACCCATCCACCCACCCACCCATTCATCCATCCACCCATTCACCTACCCATCTATTCACCCACCCATCCGCCCACCCATCCACCCAACTACCCATCCACCCATCCACCCACCCACCCACCCATTCGCCCACCCACCCATTCACCCATTCACCCATTCATCCATCCACCCATTCATCCATC